CTTTTCGTGCGTTACAATACATGTCTGCCATCTTCCGCCGCAGTCGAACGTTTATTTTCAATTGCGACCATTGTGAATAATCCATGTCGTCATGCCTTATCTGATGATAATTTTGAGAAACTTGTCATCTTAAAAGCAAATAAAATAGGTCTCTAAAAAACTTCGTATTTAATTATTATTACCTCCTTTGGCAACTTTATTTCTCATTATAAATCATTCATTAATCATTTCTTTAGTCATTAATGTCATTAATCACTCTTGAACATATATTAAGTACCCTGTACGCTGTACTCCAGCAGGTACTCAAGTATTTATCATGAGTACTTATACTTGGTACTCGAATACAATTTGTGTAGAGTACTTGTATTTGGTAATCGAGTATATTTTGTGTGTACTCGGAACAGCTCTGGATTGAGTGGACTGGGAAGATCACCAATTTTTCAGAAGAAGGCGCTTTGGTCGTTTCACTATACATTCGAATATGTGCAGTTGGTAAGTTAAGAGGACCTTTGATACACACGGTGTGTATTTTTCGACTCGAAATTAAGGCCGGTATTTCAGATCTGAGCTCTGTTCATAATGCTTATTTCGATTTTTAATATTTTTTAAAGACAACTTGATAGATTTAAAAAGATTTATTTTTTGTAAAACATAACTGCAAGTACCATTAAATATATTATTTGCGTATATTCTGAGGATTAATGTTTATCAACAACCCGGATGCGAAGAGGCAAGTAGTAAAACTCTGCCTTTCCTACCTACTCAGGGTGACGTAGGCGTATGGCCCATAGGGAAAGTCATCGGTGGCCATCAGAGTTAGTACGGAGCGCTTTGGTACTAACTGAATGGTTTGTTACAGACTTGTTACAATATAATTTATTTCTTTCATGTGAAATTGAAAATGATGATGAGAAAGTATAGTTTATTTAAAACTTATTTGCAATATAAAAAACCACAAAAAAATGTCGGCTTCTTTGGTGTCTTTACCGCTGTCAAAGAAGCCGACATTTTTTATGTTGCAAATCAGTTTGGAAATAAACTATACTGTCGAAGAACATCTAACCGCGACCGATTTAAGCGAACGAAGCGAGTTTCGGGTACCTGCATGAGTTTCGGAATCGCTTTTCTCGTACACGTTATGATCAATTTTTTTTCTACAAATGTTAGGAATCGTTCTGTAGTTTGTTTCACGTCATGTTGGTGACAGTTTTTTTAAATTGAATGTGCATTTCATTGACTTGGGTCCGTTCTTGAGTTGTTCTTGTCTATGGTGCACTTTTAAAATAAGAATCTAGTTAGAAGGGTTGGTAGGGCACAAAAACTTCAAACAAACTATGGTTTTGTGAACAATTTTTGTTACCTGATGTGCAATTTCATCATTTAAATAACTGTTGTATCAATGTTTATAATAATAAATATCTGATGTGGCCAGCACATAACTTTCTTATACCAGTATATATCATCCTGATGTAAAAATGATTCTATTTAATTCTTCATTTACCTCAATTATATTTTAATAGCTTACCTTGAAATGTTTCATTAAAATTTTTAAATAATTTTAAAGCTTTATTTAAGTAATTGAAAAATATATTTTATTGGCTTGATATAGTAGACATGATTTATAATCTTTCATCAAGAATATATTTTTTTGCAAAGGCAAATACAAAAAAAGTTTGGGTTCCGTGGACCTCCTTTCAGCTGGCCAATTTTGCTCATCATCGAATTTATCATTGTCTTTGGTCTTTAGAACATGTGTACCAAATTTGAAAGCTTTATCTCAAAAACTGTGGCTGCTATCGCGATACTACAGACATGCATACGGATTTTTTCCATAAAGATGTCCGACAGACATCAATTGGTAAATAGTCAGAATGAATTCAGGAGGGTTCAAAACGTGTAAATCAATCAAAAACTCGAGATCGAAAAAGATCACGATTACTATACTTCCTTATATTAGGTATAAGAATGTAATAAAAATTGAATATGAATACCAACCTAGCTATATTTTCGTTTTTTATATTCCAGCACTAGTGAGGGAATTGGCTACTTCCCACACTCAATTTGGGTTTGTAGCAAAAAGTCTTTACCGATCTCTTATGTCACTTTTAGTTGACAATAGTATCTCATAATAATAAAAAATACTTAGTCCAGTATTCTTTGAGAGTAAGCGTCTGACATCTGTCAGTTGAATTTTATGAATTTTGTTAAAGTTACCAAGTTTTTTGAGACTAGCAAAAACGATTGCAAAAAAAAATATTATACGTAACACACCCGGAAAATGTCTTTACTGGACTCACTGTCTTTCAGGGCTCGTCCTGTCAGCAAACATACTGGTTTAAGTTGAAGTCTAAACTACCTAAAATATGTATAATAAATTTAGTCGCAAAATTCAAATTAACCATATTTAAGTAAAATTTACGTTGACGTGATGTGAAATCGACATAGGTAAAATTACATATAAATCTTCCTTGCAGTTGCACAGTATGTTTGGTTATTAATAAGTATTTAGGTACATTTGATTTCATTTCAACGTCAATTCGACGAGTTTTAGGTAGAATTTACGAACTTATGTGCAAATGGCAAATGACTCCAAGTAAAAAAAGAGGAATTTTCTACTTATTTGGTATTTTTTTTCTATAAGTAGTAGCAACATTGTTGACAGTCACGAAATTGAAAAGATACCTAATTCATAGTAAGATAGAAAATAAATGAGTGTCGGTGATAACAATAAATCCAATTTAATTGCGTGGTTCTGAAGTTCCCCGGTTGTTGAAATTAATGCGTCTCAAATTTTTTCATGCATATTAGCACCTATAATGCGCCTCCAAAATATTCATTAATATGAAAATACCTATTATCAAGTTAAGAAATGATACTTATAGTTTAAGCCAAAAGTATGTTATACTTGTTGAATATGACTTAGAAAGTATAATTTTGTATTTTTTTAACCTTTTCATCGCTTCGTTTCCATAAAAGCTCATTTTAAAAATTTCAGTTTCAAATCATACTCCAACTGTGGTAAGAAAATATAGCATCTTGCGCTAATTTGACCTTAAGGTTAACTACCTTTGAAAATGTAACTATAAGGATGGTTGAAACCAGGTAGAATAACTGGATAGAATTTATTGACTTTACTTTAAAGGAGCTTAATAAAGGCGATCAAATAGGTTGCTATGTAGATACGAATTAAGTAGGATATCTAACAAAATCTTCTTTTTTAAGATGATTTTTAATGATTTTTATATTAAGAAATGTTAAGCTTGGAAGAAGTTTGTGTCGTTTAATGTTAAAATATGGAAAATAATTTCATTTACAATATTGTTGCATTTTTGCAATTAAATTTCTCAATAGTGATTTACCATTTTCTTTAATTTGTTAAATTTATATATTATTTAAAGTACAGCACAGAAAAACAACTAATTGGTATGGCGGCACACAGCGTACCAAATTTTTATTTCAGTTAATATAAAGTTCCATAAAATGATCACTGAAAATCCAAAATATAGTAAAAAAACACTCAGAATTAATAACAATGACTTTTGACTTAAGCATCATTTGTCGTGCAAGAGTTTACACAAACCGTGATAAGTTTTTTGTACATACTGTGTTATTGTATTCTAGAAATACAGAGAGAGTTGTTTGTCGGTTACGATTTAACTTATTTTATTGGTTCTTTATTTCACGGTACTTAATTGAACTTTTTTATAAGTTTCATGATCTTTATTGGTTTTGCAGTAATTCATCTATATTCAAATGTTTTAGCTATTATGTTCATATAGGGGTATCGAGAAGAAAGAAAATACATTGAAGATTTCTTTTAACAAAGTTTTATTTAGGGAACGAAACTGCAAACTGCACATTCTTATTTTATTATGAATAAACTCATAATTCAGATGTGCATATAAATGCGGTGTATAGAAAATGGCGAAGGAGCCGGGATTTGATCCATTATGTGACACTGGGCTTGCATGCCAGCATGTTGCATTCAACATTGTTTAGGTATCTTAGATTTAATTTAATGTTTTTGTATATTACTTACAACATTATTTACTGATCCGAGAAGTGGAGAAAGACCTTGAATTAATTACTATTTTAATTATGTTCCAATCATCTTTGGAAAAGATACACATCTTTGTCAATTGCAGGGTACCTACGGAGTAGTTGCTAATGCAATTTCACGGAGAGTTAAATCAAATCGGTTTTATATTTTATCGGTCGGTGATTCTTATTTAATGGTTCATTATATCCTTTAACAGATGATCGTAAATTGTAATGTTTAAGAAAAAAATATCATGAAGAAAACATGGAGGCAAGGATAATATTTGTTGGCGGCGGGTGGACGGTATGGGTGGCATTACATGTAGTGGCCGCACATAACCAGCAGTATTCAATCTAGGTGAAACAGTAATTGCCATAAGTTATAGAGATATATGTCTTGGGGAAGTTGTGGCGAAAAATTATTGTGGATTTTTCATTTTGCTAGACGACAATGCCCGTCCTCATCGTGCAGGATTGGTTACTGCTTTTCTGCAGAAGAGTGAAATCCAGCGAATGGTATGGCCTACTAGATTTCAATACAATAGCCCTATTAACATATCTGAAGTAACCAGAAATTGCATCTATAGAGACGTAAAGATGAACCATAGACCCTACATCCTCTCTCTCAAGTGGTTTAAGAGTGGGAGCAGCCAAGACTTTAGTCGCTGGCTTGTTGATATGATGCCTTCATATATCGAAATGTAACTCAGGACAGAGAATGTCTCGATTTTAGGTTCATCTCATAAAAATTTGTTGTATAGTGTTGCTTGCAACTAATAAAAGAAAAATTTACATAAAGAGTTTTATGCAGGCTAAACTAAACACCATAGGTAATAAAAACCCGGTATCCTTGAAAGTACTTAAAAACACTTTGTGCGGGAGAGAGTTGTACATTTAAGGACAATGAACACACACCCAATATCCGAGTATGGTCGGATTAATTTATGTTTCAGCAAAATCCTAGGTCCTCGACCTGGGATAGAACCCAGGATTCCAGAATGAGAGACAAACGTCATTACCACTCGACTATGAAACCACATTCCGCACAAGAAATCAATAAAATCTATAAATGTATTAATTTGTAGACCTAAGAAGGGGTAGAATAATTAGTATTAAGCTTAATAAACTGGGTTGTATAACAATTTCAGTAAATAAAAATAATTTAAGTAAACAATGAAGACAAAACTGAAAAATTAGAAAATACAGAGTTTATCGTCAGTGATGTACCAACACTTCCTATCTGACAAAATTTTCAAAAAAAACATTCCCAGCTTTACTGCGTACAATCAGAATACATATGTAAATAATAATTAGACATTTTCTGTAAATCAGGAGAGAAACTGTTTACTTGTATCCCTTTCTGTAGGGATTAGAAAACTAGTAATTCATATCTACACCATATTAAAATAATAAAATGTTTGTTATTTTTACATTTTTTGTATTTTTGACTTTCACTTAAAACTTCTAAAAGTTAGTCTATTTAAAATATAATACCGTTGCAACATAATAAATAATTTAGATTTAAAGAATACATAAATGGTCATGTAATAAATACATATTTTATAATAGTTTTATAGTACCTACCAGACATAATATATGTATAAGAAATGAACACACTTTTTTACTATTAAGTATTCTCCGTACTTCTGACAAAGACTATGTAGCTGAAACATGTGTAAAGTTTTTTTAAATAAATTTTGAAACATTTGACAAGCAATTTTATATATATATATATATATATATATATATATATATATATATATATATATATATATATATATATATATATATATATATATATATACATATATATATATATAGTAAAAAACAATGAGAATTAACGGGTACGCCCATTAAGAAAAAAAAATTGCACGGTGGAAAATGCAAAAATTGCAAATGGCAGAAAGATGCAAACCGTGGACACGTGTTTCTGACTAATTGGTCTTCATCAGCACGGTGTAGCTGAGTTAAAATGATGGACAAAACTCAAAAAAGACACTAAAGGAAAACCACTGACAGGGAGCCAGTCGCACCTTTGTGGCTTCCACTTGGATGACTCCGGTATGGGAGCATCGTCCAAGCATCGCACACGCGGGCAACTATAGCAACCTGCGTGGGATTCCGGACCCAGGAGAATGAATATGAACAGAGAATGAATTTGACGCGGGTTTAATGTAAAAAACAATGAGAATTAACGGGTACGCCCGCATTAAGAAAAAAAATTGCACGGTGGAAAATGCAAAAATTGCAAATGGCAGAAAAATGCAAACCGTGGACACGTGTTTCTGACTAATTGGTCTTCATCAGCACGGTGTAGCTGAGTTAAAATGATGGACAAAACTCAAAAAAGACACTAAAGGAAAACCACTGACAGGGAGCCAGTCGCATTCTCCTGGGTCCGGAAACCCACGCAGGTTGCTATAGTTGCCCGCGTGTGCGATGCTTGGACGATGCTCCCATACCGGAGTCATCCAAGTGGAAGCCACAAAGGTGCGACTGGCTCCCTGTCAGTGGTTTTCCTTTAGTGTCTTTTTTGAGTTTTGTCCATCATTTTAACTCAGCTACACCGTGCTGATGAAGACCAATTAGTCAGAAACACGTGTCCACGGTTTGCATCTTTCTGCCATTTGCAATTTTTGCATTTTCCACCGTGCAATTTTTTTTCTTAATGCGGGCGTACCCGTTAATTCTCATTGTTTTTTACTGTAATGCAATTAAACCCGCGTCAAATTCATTCTCTGTTTATATATGTATATTTATATATATATATATATATATATATATATATATATATATATATATATATATATATATATATATATATATATATATATATATATATATATATATATATATATATATATATATATATATATATATATATATATATATATATATATATATATATATATATATATATATATACAGGGTGAGTCACCAAGCGCGCCTCGGTCGATATCTCCTTTAATATTTATTATACAGGAAAAAGTTTCAAATAAAAGTTGTAGTAGGCGAAGAGTACCATATTTCAAAATTATTCCTAATCACACAGGGTATTTGATGTTAGAGTGGCATATCAGAAGTATGTTTTTTTAAATGGGACACCCTATATATTTTTACAAATTCTTATTCTTTATTTAATTGCCTTTTCGAGTATGTCTTGTTTATGAAATTTCGTTGCAGCGTTGTCGAATTATTCAACTTTTTTTCAAAAAAATTGTCACTTGCAGACCTCACTAATAAATTCTGCATGAGCGGTATTTTCACAGATTAAGCAAACCATTTTTGTTAAATGTTAAGCAATGTCATGGCCTAGCCTCCAGATATTTTAAAGTTGAAATTATTTGTACAGGGTGTTTATTACGATAATACAAATATGGCTAACTTTAATCTATCATAACTTCATTTTTTTAAATGGAACACCCTGTATATTTTTACATATTTGGATAGAGTTTTTGTCGCTCTACAATTTTTATTAACTTATAGTTATACCTAAAACGAACGGTTTCCAGTGAAACTGCATTCTAATAAAAACATCAGGTAATTCCTAGAAATTCGGATATCATAGGAGGCATTGGCATTGGCACATGTTTTTTTTGTTTTTGCAAGAAAACAACTATGAACATTATTGTTTCAATTAATGTAAGTTTCATCTTTTATAAATGAAAAGAAAGTTGTCTTATTATTCTACATTTAAATACTTGATCTGTGTGAATTTTCCAAATATCTAGATGGCATTTATCACTGATATTTGATTGAAACTAATTTGAAACGCTTTTAATTTGCAGACCTTATTGTTACGTTAATTTCTACTTAGATAAGTATTTAAAATGAATTTTTCTAAGCAAGAAAGAATTAATATGATTTACTGTATCGGGGAGAGTTATGGTAATTGTTTATTGGCCTCTAGATTGTATGGTCAAAAATATCCAAACCAAAGTTAAAAACCAAATTCGATGAAAGCGGAAAAGTTATGTTTAAGAAGCCGAAGCGAATTACACCAGTCGTAAATGAAGAAAACACATTATCTGTTGTGCTAAGCCTCGTAGAAAATCCACATGTAAGTTCAAGAATTTTAAGTAGGGAATTGGATATTAGTCAGCCCAGTATTGCAAGGATTATAAAAGAAAATAAGTTTCACCCTTATCATATCCAATTATTGCAAGAACTAGAAGCTAATGATTTTATTAAGAAACGAGAATTTTGTGAATGGGCAATTCAGAAAGTGCGAGAACAACCGGATTTTTTCGAATACGTGTTGTTTTCCGATGAGGCTACGTTCCATAAAAACGGAAATGTTAATAGGCACAATCTGCACTATTATTCTACAGAAAATTCCCCATTTCAGACGAAGTATTGACTATCAACATAGGTGGTCATTAAACGTTTGGGGTGGAATTATAGGAGGATATGTAATTGGGCCATATTTTTTTGAAGGCAGAATAAATGGAGAAACATATCTACACATTTTAAGAAATAGTCTACCAGATTTGTTGGAAAATTTACCATTAGCTACAATACGAAGGTTTTGGCTACAGCGTGACGGGGTGCCAGCCCACTACCGTGCCCAAGTACGCAAATTTGAATAATCAATATCCAGATAAGTGGATTGGTAGAGGTGGGCGAATTTGTTGGCCACCTAGGTCACCTGACCTAACAAAATTAGATATTTTATGTGGGGTTATGTAAAAGAGACCGTTTATAGAACTGCTCCAACTACAGCTGAAGATATGAAGGAGAGAATTAGAGCTGCATTTCAAGAAATTAATGTTCAAAAATTAAGAAATGTTAACCAGTCTTTTTTTGAGTCGTCTAAGATTTTGCGTGCAAGAAAATGGAGGACACATTGAATATCTTATGAACTAGATACAACTAAAAAAAATGTATTTACCGTTTTGTTATAAATAAATTGTTTCATGTTCGTAGTTCCTTCTTGCAAAAAAAAAAAAAAACACGTTCCAATGCCTCCTATGATATCCGAATTTCTAGAAATTACCTGATGTTTTTATTAGAATGCAGTTTCACTGGAAACCGTTGGTTTTAGGTATAACTATAGGTTAACAAAAATTGTAGAGTGACAAAAACTCTATCCAAATATGTGAAAATATACTGGGTGTTCCATTTAAAAAAATGAAGTTATGATAGATTAAAGTTGGCCATTTTTGTATCATTGTAATAAACACCCTGTACAAATAATTTCAACTTTAAAATATCTGGATGCTAGGCCATGGCATTGCTTAACGTTTAACAAAAGAAGTTTGCTTAATCTGTGAAAATACCGCTCATGCAGAATTTATTAGTGAGGTCTGCAAGTGACAATTTTTTTTGAAAAAAGTTGAATAATTCGACAATGCCGCAACGGAATTTCAAAAACAAGATATATTCGAAAAGGCAATTAAAGAAAGAATAAGAATTTGGAAAAATATATAGGGTGTCTCATTTAAAAAAACATACTTTTGATATGCCACTCTAACATCAAACACCCTGTGTGATTTGAAATAATTTTAAAATATGGTACTCTTGGCCTCCTACAACTTTTATTTGAAACTTTTTTCTGTATAATAAATATTAATGGAGATATCGACCGAGGCGCCCTTGGTGACTCACCCTGTATATATATATATATGATTAAATATGATTTGAAGGAAACAACTACTCAGCGGGCAAATACGCCGACCTGCATTGAATTACACCTTCAAATCATGATAGATCGATAGCCAATATCATTTGTCAATTCCTAACCAGACATAGATCGATTTCGAACTTATTTATTCTCTTCAGTATGCCATAGGTTATGGAACAGACAAATGATAGTGGCCAACCTGCTAGTTATATACTAACTAAGGTGAAGTGAATAGTGGTGAGAGGTATGAAACCTCTCATATGGTCTGAATGCTACTATCCGACCGACATCCTAGATGTCTCTGTGGCGGATAGCGACTTGCATCACAGCAAGTACCGAGAGCGGCGACCCCTAGCCCAGGTGGACTAAACTAATGTGATTAAATATGATTTGAAGGAAACAACTACTCAGCG